GGAAAGCCTGAGGAGACTCAAGAAGGTAAGTGAAGAACATGTTAGGAAGGCTGTTAGGGATCTGTCAGTCTGGGATTTGGGTAGTGGCAATTAAGATCTTTCAAGGGACCAAAAATACGAAAGGACTTTAAAAAGTTCATGGAAAGATTCGTATTATCTTTTAATTCTATTTATCCACGAACTTTTTGAAGTACCCTTGTAGAATTATTCTTCATATGCAGGATGTAGCACAGTGACTAGCACATAGTAGGTACCTAGTCCTTATTTGTTGTATGACTGAATGATGAACCACGAGGGAATGAATGAAAGGACTCTTCTGAGAGAAAAAAATGAGAGCTTTAGAGGCAACAGAGAAGAGGGACTGCCTAGTGCAGTCCCTTAAGGGAGGGGGAAGAGAAGAGTTAGCACAGCTATCCCTAACCGTAGCAGGAAGGAGGTGGCTCGCTTCCCTTGCAAGGACAGTGAGTCTGTGGTCCTTTTGCTTCCGCCCACACTTCCATTCTGAGGAAGTGCAGCAGTTCCCATGGCACAGGGTCTGCTTCTGGCCACGCTGCTCTCAGGATGCCACAAGAGAAGTGGAGAGCTTGAGCGGAGTCATTCTCCAAGAGCGTGAGAAATTTCAAATCCATTATGTCACATTATCTTTAGGGGAGACGCTGTGCTTACCTGCTAGCCATGCAAGCTACTCACCATACGGACATTGATGAAAAAAATGTTTCATAGCAGGAACTGAAGATAAAAAAATAAATCTGACCCTAGGCTAGCAGAGCACACCCTATACATTGAAGAACGGGGGAAAGTTGGGATTTCCTGGCCAACTTTCCGTTCACTGAAAACATGGTCATCTGTGTACTAAGCCCGGTATGCTTTGACCTTCTGCCAAGTCTGTAAAGCTGAACTTTCACAGCAGGAGTCATTTGAAGTGCACTGGTGGCACAGACATGACAGAGAGCTATATCTCATTATATTTTTCAAATAGGTCAGTGTTTGATACTCTCTTTCCTTTAAACATCTATGTCTAATACTTTTCACTTTTGTACCATAGGATATGGCCACTTTGAAAAAAATATGTACCACTCATCACCCCATATATTTTTCTAGGACTAAATAGAGAAGCTATAATAAAAGACTGCATCAATGCCTAAGGAAGACCTTTCACGGTTCTCATTATATAAGTAACTTTCTGTTTAAGAGAAATGCCAACACTTCAGTGGATAATAATGAGGAATTGAACAATATCTTCTTAATACAACATCTAGTAGACTAATAGCAAAATGACAGTGTGTACATCAGTTGCTAGGACAAAATAGTGAATTCTGCCCCATGTTCATATGAAAGATACATACAGTCCAAGGAGAAGATATAATGTCTCTATTGTGATCTTCATTTAACATTTGATTAAGGCAAAGTTGGTGCATTTAAAAAAAAA